TGTTTTGTTGTGTTTTAAACCAAATTGCTTGTTAGAACTCATTCAGTGCCATATTTGGAACTTGCTCATATCCATCTCTTGCTCTAAGTGCATCTGTTTTGATCCATTGGTTTTCAAATGCATTTCCAACTTCACCTTTTGCAGCTCACATACAATATTCTTGCTCTGATGTATTTTGATTGAATCTTCTATCAAAACTCATTCAACCTCATGTTTGGAGCTTGTCCATACCAATTTCTCGCTCTAGACACATCTGTCAACTCATACCTCATTGTTGTAAATTTGTCTCTCATAGTTAAAGTTTGTATGTGAAGCAGTAACTAACATGAATGTATGTTTGCTGTGTTTTATGGCTGCATCTGTATGATTTTAGATTCATGGCCATGCTTGACTATGTAAGTTGAAGTCTCACAGCTGCTTATGAAATGATTTGAACCTTGACAGTTTTGGTGTTTATGCTGTTGGATCTATAGTGGAATTGGTGTTTGCATATATTAAACAAATGTTTGCATTTCCCTTAACATACTGCAGTTTGGATTGATAAGGGTCTGCTGTCATGAAACTACTAACATTGTTGATTTGCAAAGTTGTTCATAACATCAAATTCATCAAATACCAACATTGTGATCTAATATCTTTTGAACATTTTTTTCTGTTGGAACTCTTTGTATATTGCATTTCAAGCACGAGCAAACCTTGCCCTTTGTTAGCAACTTATGTGTTTGGACTGCTATTTGAACTTTGACCCATCTCAAGCCAACCAATGTAACATGTTCATTTTTGTGCCAAGCTGTTCTGTCAAGCTGATCTCTGCTACCAAAACTGTTTGAGCTTGTCAACTCATGCTTATTGCCAGGATTTGCACCTCATACTAAAAACCTGTTTTGAATCAATAGCTTGCACATGAAGAAGTGAGGCTCATTATTTGATTTTGGAAATTGATGTGTGTGGTACTGTCATTCTGAGTTAGTGACTGTTATGGAGAGCATTGGTTTGAGGCAATTTGATTTATTACTGCTCATTCAGATCCTCATTGCTTGCTCTTCTTAAGGCTATTGCATCTTGTGTATTGAAGGTCATAACCTGTTACAGATTATTGAACACATTGTGTTGGATCATTGTTGAACACATTAGTTATGCACAAAGAAATTCCTCAAAACACATTTTTGCAACTTGACAGCCATATCTTGATTAAATTTGGAAATGAGTTCCTTCTTTGAACTTAATCCATGAGTAACATATTTCAAACATGAGCATAACATTGTTGGTCTTGAATTCACCCATTATAATCACTTTGTCTTGGTTTATGTACAATTCATGCTCTTTGATGCAACTCATGTGCCACTTTCTCACTTTAGTGTCTTTTGATCAAACTCCCTGTTGAGACACATTCCATATCAAATTTAGAACTTGCTCAAACCACCTCCTACCACTAATTGCATCAGTTTGTAAAACTTTGATTTTCAAGTGCATCTCCAAACTCATGGTTGCAACTCATAGGATCATCCTGCTATAATAACAATTTCGATTACTTTGTTGGTTAAAATTGGATCTATGATGTACTTGAATCATGTGCAGACCCTCACCTGTTTTTAAACTCATCAGTTTTGGTCATCATTGTCCAAAACGCGTTTCAAGCTCCATTATACGTGAGCCATTGAATTTTATTTTGTGGGCATCCTTGGAGAATTTGATTTGCACCATTGTAATCCTCATGAAAAATCAAGCAGGATAGGCTTTTGTTTCATTGAGTTTGGTTGAGATTTGATTAAGTTATGACGAAATCGTATTTTGGATTTTTTGCCTTGAGTCATGCCTAGCCCGGCCCAGAATTTGCGCGCGTTTAAGTATATTTGCAATTGGGGTGGCGTTATACAACAGACGTATCGCCACCCTAGTGGTTAAAACTTTGCCTTGCCATGCCTTTTTCCCTTTTTTTAGCACTTGTCTTCTTAGTTCTTTTTATTTCATTTTATTTCTTTTCTTGTTTTTATTTTATTTATTTAAAATTAACTTTAAATACCATAAAATTCCAAAAACTCTTAGTTTTATTTTTTATATTGTAATGTGCCAATTTTTTTTCCATCTTTTATTTTTATTTTATTTTATTTTATTTTTTATTTTAATTTTCATTTTTATTTCTCTTTTGGTTATTGGGTTTTTTTAGCCCATTTTAAAGAACACCTCTCAACAAGAAAATCCATATCTCTTTGTATTGAATTAAAAAGAGAGGATTAAGTGTAGACTTCTTCCTCTCTGAGTGTTGGGATGCTCATTGTAGTGTGGGCAGTTTTGACACTCGTCTTTCAATACGAAGACGCTTGTACGTTTTCAATCTCTTTTCTCCTAAAAACCTTGGTCCCGTACCGAGTCCATTTTCAAATCTCTTCAAATAAGAAAATTAAATATCTCTTTGTATTGAATTAAAAGAGAGGATTAAGTGTAGACTTCTTCCTCTCTGAGTGTAGGGATGCTCACTGTAGTGTGGGTGGTCTCAATACTCGTCTTTCAATATGAAGACGCGATTTTATCCATCACTCATCTCTTTCCACACCTCTTCCCACAACTTACTTCTGCATCCTTTCTCACCTAAAACCTCGGTCCCGCACCGAGTGAATTTTCAAACTCTTTTCATAACAAAAGCTTGAATGATCGTGGAGTGGTTAGGCGTAGGCCTTCTCCTATCCCGAGTGCTGACGTTTACCGTAGGGTTCTCTATCGTAAAGTACTTACCATTCAAAACCAAAAACATCTTTAACAAGAGAACAAGTTCTCTTTGAATTGAATTAAAAAAGAGAGGATTGAGTGTAGTTTTCTTCCTCTCCGAGTATCAGGATACTCACTGTAGTGTGTGTGGTTTTGATACTCGTCTTTTAGTACGAAGACGCTACGTTCGTCACACCCTTTTATAACAAAAAACTTTGAGATAAAGAATTGGGTACTACCCGTAGGGGTTACTATCAGAGGACTTATCTCGCCCCTAAACACAATTCAACCAATCAAACGTGACACCTTGCCTCGCATGGCGAAAACCAGTCTTTCAAAAAGGATATGCTACGTCCATTCTACCGCAAACAGGTAACGCATAAGTCTCCTCACATATGAGCAGCAAAACACCTAAACTGCAAGAATGCGCACAATAAAATCATCCACAAAAACACCAGTTACCCGTAGTAGCACGAACTACGTTGCTCTGATTTCTCATGCATATTGAGAATACGTAGGTATAGGATTGCGACAATCCTAGCGAGCACCATTTTCTCTTTTCCACCCTTTCCCAGAAAGGCATGATACGTCCGTTCTACCGCAAACAGGTAACACCTAAGTCTCCTCACATGCGAGCAGCAAAACACCTAAACTGCTAGAATGCGCACGATAGGATTGTCTACCAGAACTTCCCCGCAAACCCTAGGCCGAACTATGGCGGTTCTGATTCTTTACTTCGTTCAAGTAAAGATACGTAGGCACAAGGGCCACAATCCTTGCCGAGCACATTCCCCCCATATATCTGTAGCCCCGAACTACATCGACTCTGACTTTCTCATATCTTTTCAGAATACGTAGGCCTAGGACCGCGAAGTCCTATCGAGTCTGTTCTTTCTCTCTTCTCCCCTCATTACTTCTCTTTCCCCGTTACTTTTCTCTCTCCTATCTCTAACCTTTCTTTTACCCCGTGGAACACTCTTTTATAGCATAATATTTAAGCAAATAAAAACATACATCGACAAGTAAATGGTTCCCATCGAGTACGATGGATGCGAGGGGTGCTAATACCTTCCCTTCGCATAACCGGCTTCCGAACCCGTTCTTGGTTGCGAGACCATCTTATCCATTTCTTTCTTAAGGTTTTCTCGATATTTTCCTTTCCCTTTATGGGATAAATAAAATTCGGTGGCGACTCTTCTGCCCTTCCTTTTCGCCTCCCCGTCGTTGCACGATGCATTTTTCGAGTAGCGACAAGTGTATATTTTTTTTCAATTGTTAGCAAGATTAATCAAAATTCTACTGCGACAAAGGAAGATATAGATAAATGTAAAGCTTCTACTATTGAGGATTCGAAAGGAAAACAACTTTACATGAAGGAAAATATTGTTTTCAAAAAGCTGCTTGTTTTCTAACATGCAAAACAAAGATTATAAGTTTCATAGGGTATAATTCCATCTTTCTTATTTTAATTTACTGGATTTTATTTTTACATATTTCAAATTTTGATATGTTTTGTGCTTACTGAACTTGTTCATCTTGGTAGTATGTTGTGGAAGGAGATGGAAGCTGGTGTATGGATTTTGTTACGAGAAAGCTTAGTTAAAATGATTTTTTTATAAGAAAGCTTAGTCAAAATGATTTTTTTACAATCTTATGAATGAGAATATAAGTTAGGGAAGTTGATAGAGAGATTATTTATTATTGTATATTTAATTCTAAATATGTTTAGTATGTTATCATTGGTAGAATTCACTTTATGTGATAAAGATTTCAGTTAGGTAAATTATTTTTGTTGGAATGTTAAATTAATTATAAGCTACACCATTAAACCTTATACTTTGTGATTCTACTTTTTATTAAATCCTCTTGATGCAGTTATATTGGTCCTCCATTGTAGGTTAATTTTTTTTTAAAATAATGTTCTATTCCCACGATTTTAAGCTGTAGCCTAAAATAAACCGTAACTTATATTTGAGTTAACAAACCGTACTTTAAAACATAGGCAACAATTATGCAACAATGACTCAAGTAAATGAATAGAAATCACCTTTAAAATATATATATGAAAGTGTAAGCTATATTAGCTACAAGAGGAGGGATTTATTAATGATCATTTATTAAACTATATATATGAACTTTTATTTTTACTCCTAACACGCAAGGAAATTATAGTACTGATAATTAAGAATCTTCCATTCCATCCATTACAACAAGTAATTAACAACAACATCAACATTATAACTGGTGATTAATATTAATAAGAACCCTCCATTGTTTGGAAATCTTATGTTATGTTAACGACATACGTAGTCATTAGGAGTACTACGTCCACAAACATCAAGCACTACCTTTAAGGGAATATTAAGGTTTATTCCCAAAACATTAGCCTTGATTGATATACAAAGACACAGTGCAGCATCAAGATCAACAAGATTAGCAAGGAGGGAGCAACAAGGTTTGGATTGTGGAGGGCCAACCACAACGCTCACCAGATCTTGCAATAGAGTGACGCAAACATGGAGATCACTTGGACAATTCAGAGGTGGTGACACGGTCGGTGCCTGAGCGGAGCTAACGGCGGTGAGGAAAAATATGTTAAAGGAGAGAGCAAGAAAGGTAATGGTTGCAACACTTTTTGAATTCATTTTGCCAAATTATGTATGTGAATTTTAAGTAACTAATTTCTCTTGTGTTTGACGAATGAACGTGAAGTGGCCCAAGTGGATAATTTATAGGCAAATTAAAAGGCAGTAATATCTGTATGAAAAGGTGTTAAAATCTATTTGAATGATTATACTATTAACTTTTCTTAATTTACCATTAAAGTTTTAAATATAAAAAGAAATTTTCAGCCTATCTGGTGAATCATATAACTTTGATAGAATAAGTAAAAAGAAAGTGAAAAGGCATGTGGTAGTGAATAACTCCAGGCAAATCATGTAAATAGAAGTAAATTAATTCAAGGGAAAGTAATGAATAGTAGTAATGTGTTGCATTGTGTTATATAAAAGGTGGTTATGGTAGTTGGCAGAGAAAAAAGCTAATAGAGGTAGTAGCTTGACGGGGAGGGAAGCCTTGGTGTATTGGACCTCTATAGCAAACTATACTACATTTACATGATAGAGTGCTGTCCCGTTTAACTGCTATGACCGGACGAGCAGCGATGCAGTTTTCAAAAGAAATTAAAAAGTCTATTATTTTATAAATTTTCACATGTTTTAATTTATATTTTACAACTGGTTTTTATCATTATGTATATTGTTCTCGACGGTCAAAGTTCCAACAGAAGGGTTCAATTATGCACAAGCTTAATTAAGATTATCTAATGTATATAGTCAACACGTGTGAAATTCAAGATATATATTTTCTGATTTTCACTCTTTCTTATATTCATTTTGGAGTCTGTAGGTGACTTGAGCGTTTGAGTGTAAATCTTGCAGTTCTATCCCGTGCCACCATTTTGAAGATCAGCATCATCAATTACAGAGTCTTACATCACCAATCAACACTTATCATCAATTACCGTTAGTGATATTGGTCACGGTTGCATATCATATAGTAACATGATTCTTCATAGATGACGGAAATTCATGCAATGTCCTCTACGCCGACACACTCGAGAAGTTGTGACTTCGTCAACTAGATCTGAGTCCATATAGTGGTGGAAGCCTTTTAGAATTCAACGATTCTATAACTCGTCTTCGTGGAATGACATATCTACCACTATCGCTTGGAGAAGGAGAAACTGAAAGAAAGGTAACCTTGTGTTTCTTGGTAGTTGAAGCTAATGGGATTATACCTAAGTGAATTGCACATTCAAAGATACAACAGAGTCGCCACCGAACTTTATTTAGTCACAAAGGACAGGGAAAATATCGATAAAACTCAAGGAAAAGATAAACGCGTAAGGGGGTCGGTTATGCGAAGCGAAGGTATTAGAACCCCACGCATTCGTCGTACTCGACGTGAATCATTTTACTTTCTTCTAGGCTCGGATGAGCTGTCTATCTAAAGGCTACTAGTTAAAGAGAAAATGGAAAAGAAAAAAGGAAAAGTGCTCGCAGAGGATTGGGGCCCTCGTGCCTACGTATCCTCATAGTGCAATGAGGAATTCAGAGCTCCGTAGTTCATGAAACCAGGGAAGAAAAGGAGAAAAGAGGGAGAAGATTGAAAGAAGGTTGTTCGTCAAGATCTCGCGATCTCATGCCTACGTATCCTCATAGTGCAATGAGGAAGTCAGAGCTCTGTAATTCGGGGAACTAAGGAAACAAGAGGAAAAAAAGTGGTGTCAAAACAAAGAGCGAAGAGCAAAGGAATAATGTCGAAATCAAGAGAGATAAGAGGGTGGCCAGAGCATACGTGTTGAACCGAGACTTGGTGTTTAACCCAAAGAAAGAGATAGCAGTTATTCCACTGGGGAAAAAAGGATATTTGACCCTAACAGGGGGAAAGAAAAGGAATTGATCTTGCTGGAGATAAAAGGACTCGGTATGTCAACTGACAGGAAGTGTTTAACCAAAGAAAGAAGGGTTGACTCCACTAGGGAGAAACAAAAAATTGGTCTTATAACCGACGGACAGTGATCAACCAATAGGATGGGTGTAGAACCAAGTGAAGTTTGTGACCCAAGAGAATGGATGTGAAACTAAGCGGAGGTTGTGACCCAAGGGAACGAGTGTGGAACCAAGCGAAGGTTGTGACCCAAGAGAACGGTTGTGGGACCTAGCAAAGGTTGTGACCCAAGAGAACGGTTGTGGAACCCAGCGAAGGTTGTGACCCAAGAGAACAGGTATGGAACTAAGTGAAGGGTTTGACCCAAAAGAGCGAGTGTGGAACCCAGCGAATGTTGTGACCCAAGAGAACGAGTGTGGAACCAAGTGAAGATTGTAACTTAATAGAACGGATGTGGAACCCAGCGAATGTTGTGACCCAAAAGAATGGTGTGTAACCAAGCGAAGGTTGTGATCCAAGAGAACGGGTGTGGAACCAAGCGAAGGTTGTGACCCGAAGGGGTTCGGTATACTAACTGACAGGCTGTCGTTAATCGAAGCAAATGTTATCGAACCAAGAAAAGGTTGCTAACCCAAAAGGTACTCGATACATTAACTGACATGCAGTTCTTGATCGAGGATAGGGTATTTGAACCAAAAGAAGGTTACTAATCCAAATGAGCAGATGTTCGAACCAAAAGAAAGTTTCTAACCCACAAGGGTTGATTGGTTTTAACAAATGGACTCTGATCAACCAAAGAACGGGTGATGAATCAAGAGTTGATTAACCCACTGAAAGATTGGTTTTAACAGGCGGATTGTGATCAACAAAAAGAACGGGTGATGAACTAAGAGGTGATTAACCCACAGAAAGATTGGTTTTAATAGGCGGGTCGTGATCAACCAAAAGGACAGGTGATCAACCCAAAGGTGATTAACCCACAGAAAGATTGGTTTTAACAGGCGAACTGTGATCAACCAAAAGGACGGGTGATAAACCTAGAGGTGATTAACCCACAGAAAGATTGGTTTTAATAGGCGGACTATGATCAACCAAAAGGAAGGGTGACGAACCAATAAGTGATTAACCCACGGAAAGATTGGTTTTAACAGGATGACTGTGATCAGCCAAAGAGCGGGTGATGAACCCAGAGGTGATTAACCCACAGAAAGATTGGTTTTAACAAGCATACTGTGATCAACCAAAAGGACAGATGATGAACCAAGAGGTGATTAACCCACAGAAACTCAGTATACTAACAGACGAATTGTGGTTAACTAAGGGAAGGAAGACATTGATCTTGAACCAAGGAAATGGTGATTGATCAAAGGAAAAACTGAAAGGGTATGAGTGATCAAGGATCAACTCTGCTGAGGATCGAGAGACATTATAGTCTGGAAGTAGAGATGATTATTCCAGCCACAGGGTCATTCATCCCCTACCCAAAATAACCAGAATGAATATAGGAATTCTTCATTCTCATATCTTCTCTAGCACCCAAAGCATAATGCAGGAATTAAAACCGACACAGTAACAATGCAATTTATACAGTGCTCCAGCTTGTTGTGTAGATGTCTGATGCAGTAGGGGATCAAGAAAGAGAGACTCTAAAGAGATCCTAAAGAGAAGAGTAGGAGACAATTAATTAATCGAAACAAGGTTTCGATCGACTAATTAGATGGAGGAAATTGCCAATAATCTTACAAACGAGTCAAAAGATTATCAAATCAGGTAAGGGAATAATGTTTGAACAATATTAAATTTTCTCAATGAATAACAAATCTAATGCATCATGTTGAATTGCAAAGCATTAACAAAAATAAGTTAGCATGCAATAACAAGAATAAGGTAGCATGCATTTATTAACACATAAGTAAAGATGAGCAAAAATGCCTTAAACATTTGATAAAATTGCAAAAATAATCGAAGAAATTCATGGAATTAATCGAGAAAAAATTATTGTAAGCATGTGATGAGTTAAAACAGTAGCATGTACATGAATACAAGTAAGCATGGAAAAGTAGATGAATAAAGCATGCAAAACAACCCAAAACAGCAAATTTTTGGCAAAAAATTCTAGTGGTAACCAATTACCTCATGATGTAACCGATTATATCAGGTAAAAAGTGACTTCCAGGGGCGTTGAAGGGGTGAAGTAACCGGTTAACCGGTTACCTCATCAAAAGCATAATTTCCAAAAGTACTTTTTAGAATAAAATAAATTGTAAATTTTATTTAAATTAAAAAATAAATTAATAATTATTTTTTAGTGATGATAAATAAATTGAATTGGTTAACTTTGTCAAAATTAAAAATATAAATAACTTAGAGTTTCTTTAGTGGGAGTATCTTAAGTGGGTAAACTAAGATATTTTTTGTTGGCCCAAAGTGATTTGTAGGATTTAAAAAATTTATAGTTGATTTGAGTTGTTTTTACTTTAATGATAGTTGCTTATAAAAAACTAAAATTTGACCCTATATTTTATATTTTTTAATTGTAATTATTTTTTATTGAAGTTACCATTAATTTCAATAATATAAATAATAATATTATATGTTTCAAAATAAATAGCATACGTTAGCTATATAATTGCGGAAAATTAAAAGTTAGTGAATTAAATGTCATGTCATAGTCATTCCAATGTAAATTTTTTATAATCATCGTTAACTATAAAAAATTAATTATTAAAAACTTGCATTAAAGATGCTCTTAGCAATGTATAATTAAAATTGATTTTTACAATAAAATTTTATTAAAATATTTAATAATAATTTGAAAGTGTGGGAAAATTTGAGAATATTTGAATTTTAAAAGTGTAAAAAAAATTAGAAAAATTTAAAATTTGAATTTCGAGTATAATTGTATAAAATGATGAAAAGTGAATGAGAGATAAAGAGAAAGAGAAAAAGTTAAATGTGAGGAAAGTGACATAGATTAGAGAAATTGATAGAAGGAACAATAATTAATAATAATAATAATAATAATAATAATAATAATAATAATAATAATAATAATAATAATAATAATAATAATAATAATAATAATAATAATAATAATAATAATAATAATAATTTAATTTTAAATTTTGAAAAGAGAAAAAGTGAGGAAATAATGAGAAGAGGAAAAAAGTGAAATTCAAAAAAAGTGTCAAAT